AACAACCAGATTACTTCTTCAGAATGTCATGAACATATGCGCAGAAAAAAACAGAAGCTATATGAAGATTCAATAAAAATTCACAAAACGTGAAATGCGAAAGTTTTGAATCGATGCAAACCCGGCAGTCTGTGGCTGTTGACGCGAATTTAAACGAGTTTTGGGTGGCGATGTGATAACGAACAAGGTATACGTTTTTTTGCCATTAAGAACACTTTTCAGTGCATTACAATTCTGAGTTCGTTCGTCAATTCATCATGACGTAGCACAGAATTCGTTAAATAAGCATCGACGGTTAATTCGTTAAATGAAATGAAAAAAGGCGAAGTAACGTACAATCGAAGCAAGGCATACTCACAAATTCTAGTTTGTTTCTAACATAAATTGTTGATAAGATAAGATATGATAAACGTTGATGTGTACTACGTAGTCAGTACCACGAGTGAATTATGAACGCAAAAGGATGAATTGATACATCAGCAATAGTTGAATTACTACAGAACAATAACTTGAATTCATAATTGTTTTTTTCGGAAGGCTTTCATAGGACGAGTGTCGATATGACATCTTGGCAATGCAGTCGTTCGATCATTCTTCTTCCTCTTCTTCTTCATCCTCTTCCTGAAACGAATCCTTACTCATTCCTCTACAGTAAACCTCTAAGTTAGAAGCGAATAATATCAAAATGATCCTTATTATTGGAAATGCCCTTGAACGTTCTCAGAAATATGACAAAGTTGGCCTTTAATGAATAATATACCTCATAAATTATGACAGAAAATGTTAATGTTGAAGGTATCATTTCAGCTCATTAATTTTGAAATGTAAAGGAAAGCATTCAATAGTTTTATTTTAACGGTCATGTCCGAACATTCACAAGAATTGACTTCTACGAACCTCTCCTTCTTCCTCTTCCTCTTCTTCCTCCTCTTCCTCCTCATTTTCGCCTTCCTCTTCCGTCTCTTCCTCTGCACCTTCTTTATTCTCCTTCACTTCATCCTTCTTGCTTTCCTCTTTTGACTCCTCCTTCGATTCCTCCTAAACATCCTCAGATCAGTAGTCTCTTGTACGATGACAAAGTTTCGAG